CTGAACACATTCTAAACGAGGCAACGATAGGTAACACGGCAGTGGAACCATTTTTGTTGCGCATGAGTAAATTGCAGTGTCGCTGTGTGCGGAAGATCGTCAACGTCGAGGCTGACACTTTCTTCCAAAGGGGTACGATGTTGATTTTTTGCGTCCTATCTGCATGCACCTTAACCTATATTTCAGCAAAAATATTGTCTTTCTGCTGTTTCTCGGACTTGTGTTCTTAGCTATGCTTTTTTTCTAATTCTTCTTCTTCTTCTTCTTCTTCTTCTTCTTCTTCTACCTCTTACTCTCTAGAATACTAAACAGTCAAGTTAAATATATTTAGGGCTTAGATATCTGACCCTCTTTGACATTTCCGTTTTCCGTTCCTCGTACTGATGTCCCCTTACTACCTCAGACCAATTACATCCTGGCTTTTGAAGTTGGACCATCCAGATACTTAGGAAAATAAAAATAAGCTTTACTTTATAATTGCATTTAAATATTCTTTTGTGTTCCTAGCTGAGTGGCGTTGAGTGCCAATATTATATTAATAGATGGGCATATGCGCTATGGCTCAGCACCAGCCTGCTGCCGCCCACATTGCTTTTTATTGGTTTCCGGAATTATTGTCCTAGACGTTTTCTGACTCAGTTAATGACCAAAATGTTTCCTTCCGTCTATGATTTCACTTCGTCGATAAACGAAGTATGCACTCTTTATGTCAATCAACCTGATGACGCCTGCTAAACTGTGCTCATATTTCGTAGCTTGGTCGTCCCATTCCTTCCTTAGATATCAATTTTTCCATATTCATAAAGTAGTCAGTAGGCCAAGTATTCAGTAATACTAATTCAGTAATAAAAAATGAGATTTCTCGCAGTTCATTTAGTTGAAGGCATTTAATGTTGTGGCCAGCTTGTATATTTGAATAGTTCTCGGAATTTAAATGTTCAAAGGTAGCTTTTTAGTGAGAAGCGGATTCCACTAGTTCTTACGTGCAAGTAGTGTAAAACTTGTGATCCTTCTTGCTCGAACTCTTGGACATTCCAATTGGCTGTTGGTCTCATAAAAGAGGTTCGACTTGGGGCTCTTTACCATATGGACAATTCAGCATTTCCTGACAACGGGAGTGTTGCAGGGACCCAGGTTAGTTCGTCGATCGCGTTTACCAAAAACTCCAGTAAGCAGACACGAGGTACATTCAGTTTTAGGGGTTAAATTATTGACTGTAGGTATTACTCACGGTGAGGGTAAAGTATGTAACCCCACTGAATGGCTGTTCAAAAATAAACCTTCTTATCTTATTTGCATAGGGTTAGTTCGTTAGGATTTGCCCAAAAATAGGCCGCGGAAGGGCCTATATGTTTTGCGGAATTTGGCCTTCGCCAGCGTTACTGACATCCAAGTTACCCTTATGGGATTGAAAGTCAAGGTTAGGGCCAACCAGGGTTTGGATTCGCCTTGAGCTTAGGGTTTCCGGGCTTTGGTTATGATTTGGGGTTCAGGTGGGGGCAAGGCTTGGGGTTGGAATAATTGTTCGGATTTAATGGTAGATAATAGGGATTCAGACTGAGAGGTAGAGGATCAAGGTTTTAAGGTATGGGTTAAGGCTACGGTGACGTTTGGTTTTTCCTTAACAGTCTTAAGGGTTAATAAGTAGGTTTTGGCCACGGAACGCGTTAGAGTTACAGTTAGCTACAGTATTCCTGGTACGGTTGCATACACACCCCCTGCCATACTCCTGTAAAAAAACACGGAAATCGGAGGGCGGGGATCTTGTTCAGGCTTGCTGTTAAAGTATACTAACACGCAGTTTACAAAATGCTATCCATATCACCCACACAAGTACCTACATTCAGCACCTGAATTCTAGGACTTCTTTTTTCATATGACTTGTAGGCCAAGGCAGTTTCCTTGTCGCAATGAGCCAGATGACACTTGAAAAACCGATCGAAGAAGACCTTTCGGACGTAAACAACAACGTCGGAGGCAGTCCGCCAACAGATTTGCCAAGCTCACCCACCAAAGACCAAACCCTCTCTTCAGCCGACGCCGATGCCGAGTCCCGTGGCATATCCTCCGCGTCTTCGCCCTTTGCTCCCTCCTCTGCCCCGCTCTCCACCGAAAACGGTCTGGGCAGATGCAGTCTCACTACGCAAGACTCAGGCGTCGATGAGACACTCGATGAGACCATGGAGGAGGAACGAGGGCGTGCAAAACACAAACTCTGCGGGGAGGTCCCGGAGACGGAGGAGGCCGACTATGCTGGCTGGGTCATCGAGGAGAAGGCCAATGAGGTTTTAGCTTTGGGCTCTACTACGGCCTGTGCCGAACCGGAGGCGTCACCCAGCAATCTGGCGACGCGGCCGACAGAAGATACAACAGCTAACGTGGATATATCCTACCCAGAGCGCCGAGGGACGCGACTACGACGTCGACGGAGGCGGTCAAGAATATCTCAGCCACTGACAGGGCGAGATGTCGAAAGTTCAAAGGGTACGTTCAAGTCAGCCGAATCTTGTTATAGCATAAAGACAGAACTCGTCTTATTAACCTTTTCTGACCTCTTTAATAAATTTGAATATTTTCAGAAATGTGGCAAATCAGACAGCTAAGCGCAAACTAGGCAGCTTAAAGGGCTTTATAGAGGAATTTTAACAATAATGGTCTGGGCAAACCAAGATGTCTTCTTAGAAAAATAGAGGGCCAGCGCCGAGGAGGAATGAGGTACGGGAGGTAGGGGCACAGCCCCCTTCGTCGTCAGTAACAGAACCTGCTCTTTTTTGATGCCCAGTCGCTTACTGACACAAGAAAGTGAGCCAGGGCTACCAGAAGACGCATTCTTTTTGTACTCATGTGATAGAAACTAAAGTCTTCTGCACATTTAATACTTGAAGAAAGGGTATTTGTTCGGTTTCAAGACAATGCATAATTATGAGCTTTTCCTACGATTGTGAAATTTTCATCAATGAAGCATCATATTTGTTCATCTTTTCACGCTACTTGTAAAATATACAACAGGGCCCACATCCATTGCACAAATTTCCGAGCCCTATATAATATCCTCTTAACGGCATACGCTTTTTCTCACATGAATCTCGCTGCCGAGATACAGATCAGTCCAGGAGATTTTTCAATATGTACTTACATATAAAAAGGAACGACGAATCGAATCATTGGCCCACGATTTCCATAGGAACTTAAGACAGGTTAAGTACTTATTCCAAGTAAAAGATTTGCGACATAATTAATAACGTTCCAGTAATGTAACCGGATGTTTTGGTCTTTTTTCACCAACTCATAGATTTTTGTCGACCAAAGGTGAATAGCGGCCGTTTTTACATTTAAACAGAACGTAACTGACGCGACTCTTCTGGAATAGCAAAGGCTATGTCTTTATTATAGTCGAAATTGAGATTAAAATTGGCACTAGAACACACCTGCACTCACAGGGACATTCATTGAGCAGTCAAAGTTCACGGGAAGTTTGCCTTGTTCGCAAAACACCAATGTGATGATATTTTTATCCTTTTTACTTTTGACCATATATTACAAATAATTAAATGAATGAGTCCTTTTGAACTTGAGGTTTTTAAATACTTCTAATTAGCATGGCATAGATTATTAATTGGAAGACTACACTTAGATAAATTGTCTTACCCTGTCGGGTAAGAATTAGGACGTCAGAAGAAGAAGATAAGACTGTTGGAACATACAGTTTGGGGGCCCGACATTCTGGATTCTAAGTCAAACCCACCATCAGAGACGTCGATCTCTGGGGACGGTTTCGAGTGAGAATGCTAAATTACAGGCCACTACATGTTATCTTCCAGCGATGGACTCATATGGCTCTGATCTGCTTCTCGGCACTTGGCTTTTTGCTTCTAGCTATGAATTAGGAATACCAATCCTCTTGCACAAGGTGGCTTCTAATAGTAGAATTCAAGCAATTTTCAGTTTTTTGGACAACTAAAATGGCGATGTCTGATCTGCTTTATAAAACGTCCGACTAAAGGTGATTTTCTTGAACTGAACTGCACTTAAAATTATGGAAAATACAGAAAATTATGTTATATCGAGGCGTGCAATAGCTGGCTAAACCTTGCACCGTTAAGCAGATATTAATGTGAAGAGGAGGCATGCGAGGGACCTGAAGCATTTGTTCTAAATTCTGTCTTTTAATCAAAGGATTTTTGTTCAATGTCAAGACCTCAACTGTACAGCAACTCAACAGGATAAGTCTGTATCCTAAAGTGATGGGTTTCTATCATGATCGACATTTTGTTTCATTAACCATGATCGATCATATCAGATTAATGAGGTTACAACGGTCACCTGGTGTAGCACTGATTTGTGAGAAAAGTTGGTTATGAGACAAAAAAACTTTTAGTAGTTCGATCACACTCTGCTCCTTTTCCTTTTTATAGAGGACCTAGAGATGACTAAAAATTAGGTCGGATGGTGCGGCTAAGTCAACTATCTGCTTATGTTACGGGCTGAATGAATCTTCACGAATTTGAAAAGTTAATCCGTACGAGCTACCGTAAGAATTTTACTAACGTATCATCGGGCATATAAGTTGTCAGGCCCTCCGCTCTGTACTTTATTTGTCACATTCGTATTAATTCCTCCTTTCAAATGTACCGGACTCCAAAAAGTCTATAACTTTCCTTTCTGCATTACCGTAAATGTTGTTACGGTAGCCATGGCCGAGGTGTCACCGCCCAGTTACGCCTTGTGTGAGTCCCCCAAGGAAGAACACGACAAAAAGAGCGCAGAAGCAGAAGTCTTTGAGTGTAAAAGGTACAACGTATTTAGGGCCACAAACGAGTGTAAGCTAGATTCATCGAGGCAATCATCTTCTGTCCTGGCTTGGCTACCGGCACGATTGGCTGTGACTCAGCTTCTGGTATTCAGCTTAAAATTTGAATCATTGAGTGATTTGACTGGGAGTTGCGTTCGTCGTGTGTAAGCCGATCGATAGTCTGCTGTGAGCGCGGGTGCTTGCCGCATGCTATCTGCCTGTTAGGCGCCTCCTAACAGTAAGTACGCCGCAGCTTTTGGGTGGTATACTTCTACCAGTGTGTGTAATCTCTTTGCGTTATCCTGCTGAGCTAGGATGCTAGAACCAGTAAGATAGCGTTCTTTTCGGATCACTCTTGGTCGTAGACAATGAAACGCAACTACTGTCATTCATTAAGACAATTTCATGGGAACCACCCTGTTCCTGCTACACGACACAGTATGGCTATCGTTTAGTATGATCTCCATCATGCATCCCGCAGCAGGGTGGATGCGAAACGACGACGGCGAATTACTTGTTTACCAGTGCTTGTAGATTTGCGCAACATCTAGCACGCACCGCCCCCTTCTGCACGGAGCAGGCTCCGATGATGAGGAGGCAGTATCAAGACGGCCGAAGGTGGGCTTGAGTTGATAAAGCTCAACTGTTTGTCTGAGCTTGTCACAACCGGCGTGGTACCCTCACAATGTACTTGATATTCCCCACAAAAACAACTTGGATCCTATGTGAGTGATGGCTGTGTCCTAGAGGTCACGTTTAGAAGGAACCAGTGAGACTGATCACTCATCCGCCATCCCGAGCCACGACCTTTGGCACATCATGGTCAATTCAAGCGCGTCAGCGTTTTATGGTAACGAATGCGCTGAAGTGTCCTGAGGCCGCATTCTTTGAACTGTACGTTATCCCTTTTCTC